TCCCCCCCCCCCCGCCCCCGCCGTTAACTGTGAGGTTCGGGCCGTTAGCTGCGGGCGTGCGGGCAGGGCTTGGGGCACCGCCCAGGGCCCAGGAGGTGCGGGCCTCACAGTGGGACTTGGAGATGCCCGAGGACCTCTGACCGACCAGCAAGAAGGCTCCTGAAGGTCATGGTGGGGCTGACAGGAGAGCCAGGCTTCCGAGGGCTGTGCAGGCTCATCTGGGGGGGGGGAGGAAGGACCAGCTGAGGCCAGAACGCGGCTGACCTGCCCATGTCCCGACACCGGCGTCCTCTGTCTGAGCCCTCCCTCCTCCGCCTCCTCCGCCTCCTCCACCTCCTCCTTCAGGCCGCCACCGAGCACCGGCCCACACGCCTCAGGGCCTGCGATTGAGACCCTGAGACGTGGAGCCGCTGGGACGCTCGCAGCTCCCTGGCTCCGTGGCTCCCGTGGCTCCGTGGCTCCCATAGCTCTCGTGGTTCCCAGAAGTAGATGGTTTCATTCTCCTTCGCTTTAAAGAGGAGTCATTACAAAAACCCTCCGACGCCCGAGCCGACTGCACCAAGACCAGGACACCAGCTCCCGGCGCCTTCGGGCCGGTGGGCACGCGGGAGGCTGGGGCTCGCGGGGTGGGAGCCACAGCTGTGACTGAGCGACGGGAGCCGAGCTCGGGCTGCTGAGGACGGAGCTGGGCAGCTCATCATGGTTCCCGCTGATGGTGCTGAAAGCACGAGTTCTAGACTTCAAAGAAGTGAAATGAAGTGTCAGGCGTGGAGGCAGGAGCCACGGGAGGTGCACCCTGATCTCACCCGCCAGGCGGCCGGGAGCCCCGAGACGCGAGGCCGAGGAGTCCGCCTCCGGGAGCTGCTGGGAGGGCTGTGGGAGCCTGTCTCTGAGGCGTGGACATGGGTGAAGATCCCCGTGGGGTCTCCCGGGGCGCCTCAGCACTGCCACGGGGACCCCAACACGCTTTTCCCCGCGTGTCAACGTGACTCACATGAGCACAGCCCCCTCAGCCCTGAGTGTAGGAAGATGGTATCTAAACGAGGGGAAATGGGGCAAATACTCATTCTTTTATAAGTTCCCGCGAACATGTTTAAGGACAAGGAACCAGCCTGAGCTGCCCTGTGGCCTCCCAGGTGGACGCCATGGACGCTGGCTCGGGCTGGACCCCCCTCATGAGAGTGTCCGCCATCTCGGGGAGCCAGAGGGTCGCCTCCCTGCTGATCGAAGCCGGCGCCGACGTGAACGTGAAGGACAAAGACGGGAAGACCCCCCTGATGGTGGGCCCCTCGCCCAGGGCACGGCCTTCCTCGGTGTCAGGCCAGGGTTCCCCATGACCGGGCGGTTCTGGGCGTTCAGCTGTGTCCCAGCCCGGGGCCCGGGTGTGTGTGGTTCCCCATCGGCCTGTTAACAAAGGCCTGACAATGTCACCATCGTATTTTGGTATCTTTTTCACAACTATTTTTAAAAAAATATATTTTATTGATTTTTTACAGAGAGGAAGGGAGCGAGATAGAGAGTTAGAAACATCGATCAGCTGCCTCCTGCACATCTCCCACTGGGGATGTGCCCGCAACCCAGGTACATGCCCTTGACTGGAATCGAACCTAGGACCCTTCAGTCCGCAGGCTGACGCTCTATCCACTGAGCCAAACCGGTTTCGGCATATTTCTTTTTTTAAAAATAATTTTTATTGATTGCAGAGAGGAAGAGGGAGGGAGAAAGAGATAGAAACACCAATGATGAGAGAGAATCATGGATCAGCTGCCTCCTGCACGCCCCACACTGGGGATCGAGCCCGCAACCCGGGCCTGTGCCCTGACCAGGAATCGAACCGTGACCTGGTTCATGGGCCGATGCTCAACCATGGAGCCAAGCTGGCCGGACCACAACTCTTTCTTTAAGAATTGCTTTCCCTGGTCCCCAGGCCATTGTAGGATCCAAGCAGATCTGTTAATACAGGAATGTCACCTCCGTGTGGAGAAAGGCAGGGTCCACGTCCGTGTCCCTGGCAGTCCTCGCCGCAGTGACCGCGCGCACACACTCACACACACACACACACACACACACGCACACACACGCCCGCCCTGCACAGCCGCCGTGGCCCCTGCCTCTGAGTGGCTTTCCGGTTCACCCGCAGCTGGGACCCCCTCCCTCCGGGGAGCGAGGCGCCCGCTCACCCCAGCGTTTCTGTCTTCTGTCCCAGGTGGCCGTGCTGAACAACCACGAGGAGTTAGTCCAGTTGCTGCTGGACAAAGGGGCAGACGCAAACGTGAGAAACGAGGTAAATGACGCGCGCTCAGGCCTTCCCCGGGGAGAGAGCGCGCGCTCAGCGTCACCCTGTCGTTTCCCTCCAGTTTGGCAAAGGCGTCCTGGACATGGCCAGGGTGTTCGACCGGCAGGTGGGTGCCCTCCGCGCCTCCCTCCCCTCTCTGTAGCGCGCGCTTTGGAAACCACCACCCCCGGTCACGCCGCCTGTCCTTGTCCACCCAGAACATGGTCTTTCTGCTGGAGGAGAGGAGGAACCGGCAGGAGCCCAAGAAGTCGCTGTCCCTGCTGTCTGCCGGCAGGACGCCGAGTGTGGCTGTGGAGCTGGCGAAGGAGAGCCTGCGCCTCTGAGCCAGGCGCTGGAGTATTTATTTAGTTGAAGATTCAGTGACTTTTGTAACATACGACCGTCCCCACTTTGAAATACACCTCTTACCTGAGCGCGAGCGGGTGTCATCCCTGGCGTCTCGGGGCGGGGGTCTGCTTGCACTTGTGCCTTTTCAAAAAAATTACCTATTTATTTATTTATTTATTTATGTATTTATTTTTCTATTGTTAAATTTTTAAAAAAATATATTTTATTGATTTTTCACAGAGAGGAAGGGAGAGGGATAGAGAGTTAGAAACATCG